AATGTACACAACTGGACGAACAAAAGAAGATACACTGATCGACATTGAAGCCTGAAACCACAAATATTACGAGAAAAGCCCGTGAATTGAGCTTCCTTGTTTTGAAAAAGTTGCATGTAAAGGATTTTCATACTTGAAAAGAATGACATTACTCATAACTAATTCAGTAAAAACGAGACACACTGACTCTAACCTTTCTTTAAGGTTTCAGCACCTTATCAGAATCTTGATTTTGCTATTAACGAAATAAAGCCTCATACTGTAACATCAACTTAATTAATACAATGACTCCCTACATTAATAAAACTGGATGTTTTACATATGTCTTCTCCCTTCAGGCTTTTTTAAACAAGTGGTTGGGACACAATTTTCAGATAAAAAAACAACTAGCGTATAGAGTGGCGAAGACCCTCCCCTTCCGGTGGACCTCCATGGGACCTTATTTCGGAAAAAATATGTATTGAAGTCAATGGAGAGAGAAAGATTATCTTTCGATCCCGTTTGAATTGTGCCACAAATTACACATATGATGTTTGTCAATTTAAAAGATAATTTTGCAAATCAAAAAAAAAGAAATATGTCGTAAAACTGTGAAGTAACACATTTTTTTGTGTGAAACGCTCAATGAACTACATCTATTGCACAACAACACACGTCACCAAGATGGCCGTCACTACTGTCTTGTCAAAAAAGGGATTGGCTACCCTCACTATCACCACAATGAAACACGTCCAGAAGAATGTCATGCAAAGCTGCCTGCCTGCCTGCCTAGCCTGCCTGCCTGCCTGCCTGCCTGCCTGCCTGCCTGCCTGCCTGCCTGCCTGCCTGCCTGCCTGCCTGCCTGCCTGCCTGCCTGCCTGCCTGCCTGCCTGCCTTCCTTTGATTCTCTCTGAATTGCCTGATCTTTTTAATGTTTAATGTCAACCATTTGTGCAGATAGCATGAAGTAGAAAAGATCGCCGATGCTAATGTAGCGTTAGTGTTAGCATTTCTCCCCCGGGATTAAATGGTGTATTATAGAATGATCACACCGGTGTGACAGTACTCTTCAAAGGGTTCACGAAATATGACTACTACTCTTACTGTTTAACATTTTGGGTTACTTAATGTTACTTCATGTTAAGGCTAATAAAAATGACAAGGCTAAGCCGGCTGTAATGCTAACTAACGTGCTTGCTACTAGCTAGGTAGCCAACTTGATCCAGCCACTCCTGGTCCTTTCATCAGACGGGAAGCGAAAGAACGAGCAAGACCCATTGCTGGTATGATAACAACCTGGTACTAAGCACACAGGCATCTTGTTAAAGTTATCTTATCTTAGCTATCTCTATTTTAGTGGAGGAAAACAATTGTGACATCAGTTATGAGTGACATCACTTACGCGACTCTGGGATTTGTAATCTTTCTAGTTGCGTAGTCTTATATTTCAACAGTTTTACGACAAACTGTGACTTTTTTGACATGGAAATGATTTTTTAAGATTGACAAACATCATATGTGTAATTCATGGCACAATTCAAACGGGATCGAAAGATAAGTTTTCTCTCTCCATTGACTTCAATACATAATTTTTCCGAAATAAGGTCCCATGGACCGGAAGTAGATGGGCGTGACTTTGCCACTCTATTGCGTTCCAGCAAGCAATAACCAGAGTTGGGTGTAACGCGTTACAAAGTAACGCGTTACTGTAATAATATTACTTTTGTCGGTAACGGAGTAGTGTAACGCGTTACTTTTATAATTCAGTAATCACACTACTAATTTGAGTTCGTCCGAAGAATAGACAGCAATGTGACGGTGAGGTGCAAACTGTGTCCAGGCCAGCTGTTATACACTGCTGCAAACACCACGTCAAACCTCAACAAACACCTGCAAAGAACACATGCTAAGGTGTAGCTAATAGCTAAGGACCGGACCCCCGAACCCAGAGTGAGGATGTTGTGAGTCGCGGCCGCCGACTCCGAAGCAGCACAAATTAGAATTTGGAGGACCGGTAACCAAAGCAGAGATGGACAGGCTTGTAGCATCCTTCATAGTAGAGGTAATGTTGCCCATTTGCACAGTGGAATCACCATCGCATCGTTCAGAGATATACTGCGCAAAATACAGATAGCAGGAGACAGAGGACAGCCATAGTCAGAGCTATCTGGATCAGTCTTATGCGACAATGGAAACTGAACTAAAGAGAACATTTGAAACTTTAGCAGTCTGCGTGATCTGCCTGTAGGGAGGGGCGGGCCGGCCCTGCGAGTAAAGTAACGAGTAAAGTAACGAGTAAAGTAACGAGTTACTTTATGTAGAGAGTAACGAAGTAGTGTAATATATTACTTTTTTTTTTAAAGTAATATGTAATATGTAATATATTACTTTTTTTTTAGTAACGACCCCATCTCTGGCAATAACCATGGTAAAAAAATGTCTATTTGTTAGCAACACCTGTGATCACATGCTTTACATTGTCTATGTACTACACCAATAGTTTAGTGGGAATGCTGATACAGCATTCCAACTATCTGTTCTTCAAAATCTTTATTCCGCCCGTTATTTTGCCGGTCTTCTTCTCCCACATTCCACATCGCAGAAACTCCGTTCAAACATCAAAACTTTCAGCTCGGTCGGGAATCGATTGCTATTACTTTTCTCATTCATAACTTTCATAATTCCCGAGATATATCCTATAATTCATCACATTTTTAACCATTGAAGTCAATGGAGAAAATCTTCAGACTTGAACAATCTTCATGCCACTTCAACTGCTAACTGTTCCTTCATACTTTCACTCAGAAACCTCATTCCAACTTTAAAATGTAGGAAAACATCTCGTAGCTTGAAAGATGACAGATTAAGCAAAATAATTAAACAAAATGCCTCTTGAGGGCATGAAGTGACAAAATCTTTCAACATGTCTCCATTAAAGCCCATTGTAATTTCAGGCTGATATTTCCTCACAGCAGCAGCCGCACACCTTTAGTTAATCTGCCAAAAAGGCCACATTATTGACCCGAAAGTACACAAAAAGCACACTTCAGATATTCAAGGTCCTTGAGATGCTTCACGCTTTGAAATTTCACCGATATCTGTTACGGTTCTTCAACAAAACGTTCACATGTAACAGGTTTATCTCATTCAGAACAATGGAAACCTTTGAGCTCAAATATAAACACCTGTGTCATGGAACACAATGATGTCATAACTCCAACTGACATAATTAGAGCAGCAGACTTCAGATAATGGTTAATGGTCCTGCCCTCAACAGCTCTACGTCAATTATGGGGTGTCATCATATGCCGTTTCCATGGAAACGCATCCTTCGCCATAAAAGACGATGTCGCTTTACATTAACTCCTATGAAAATGTTCAAAAAGTGCTCAAACTTCACATGTGTGCTAACAGTCCAGCTGTGATGACATCTGTGTGAAAGTTTTGAGATTTCTTCAAATGCCGTTGCCATGGTAACACAAGGCTCGCCATGAAACACGGTTTTCTCATAACTTCAGTGAAAATACTCCAAACGGCCCAAAACTTCACAGGTTTGGTAACGATGCAGCCATCAACGCATCTAAGCGTATTATGGGGTGTCATCAAATGTCGTTGCCATGGCGACAGATCACTCGCCATGAAACACGATGTCGCTGTAAGTCCAATGGACACGGTCCAATCGTCCCCCAATCTTCACTTGTATATCACCGGTCCATGCCTCAACAGCTCTACGCCAAATCTGAGATCTCACCATATGCCGTTTCCATGGAAACGCATCCCTCGCCATAAAAGACGATGTCGCTATAACACCTATGAAAATGTTCAAAAAGTGCTCAAACTTCACATGTGTGCTAACAGTCCAGCCGTGATGACATCTACAGGACAGTTTTGAGATTTCTTCAAATGCCGTTGCCATGGTAACACAAGGCTCACCATGAAACATGGTTTTCTCATAACTTCAGTGAAAATGCTCCAAACGGCCCAAAACTTCACAGGTTTGGTAACGATGCAGCCATCAACGTATCTAAGCGTATTATGGGATGTCATCAAATGCCGTTGGCATGGCGACAGATCATTCGCCATCAAGTTAGTTCAAAAGTTTGCAGTTCAAATATTCTGCTGCTTTTCCAAGCCTTTTTAATTTATTTTCTTTTCTCATCACACATTCAAGCCCCCAGTGTTCATGTATCATTTCAATCTAAATTCTTCAATTTCTTCTTACACATTACATTTCAGCATAGCAATTCAGCGTCAGCTTTTCAGCATAAAGCATTCCCACTAGCAATTTCTTCAGGAATTGCATTCTCTAGTTATTATATTATTATTATTAATTTCCAAAACCTTCAAAGCTCTCTTGCATGTGGCAGCTCCATTGACGAGAGCTTCCTTCCTTCCCATGTACGAAATTGAAGTGAATATAAGTCGCTGATGGATTGTGGTAGCAATACATTGTATAAAATAGTAATTTAACATTTTCCACAATTAATATTCAAAAGGAGTTTTTCCTAACTTGTTGGTGTATCCAAAAGGCGACCATTAATGTGTGAAGGGCTTTTTAGAAGCAATTAACTGTGGAGGTATTGAATATTTTCAAAAAGAACCTTTCACAAAACATTTTCAAAGCACATGTTTTAAATTAAATGTTGTTGTATAACCTGTAGGAGATTATCAATTTGTTAAGTGATTTTGCACTAAACTATATTACAATTCGAGTTACCAACTGTGAATAAATGTCTTTGCCTGTTGGAACAATGCAGCAATAGATACTGATTTTTCAAGTTTTTGCCAATGTCTTTAAAAATATTTCTTTAATATATATATTGAATTGAATGCATCAGTTATAGTCCAAAACATGACTTTATTCAAAATTAAAGCACATCATTTGTAAGCTACTGATCCCCATGTCCTTCATGCCTACATGCTATAACATGTGTTAAGAAATGAATCAATTGAAAGTTATATTATAGTGATGTAATTGTTTTTATTATTATTTACACAAACAGTACACAACTTCAGTCACATTCATTGTTTCCACCGTTAGCTTAGATACAGTAACCGGGTAATTTTTCTATTCAACAAAACTCATGTCAACATAATGGATAATTTAAATGTATACATACATATTACATAATTACCAAACATTTACAATGGTAGGTCCATAAATATATTTTGTATTGTGTTATATAGTAAATAAAAAGTTCAGCAGATACAGCAAAGAAACAGTATCTTTCCCAAGGTCTTTGCTGAGAATGTCAAGTATCTATCAAGAGCATTGTGAACTACAAAAGGTTATTTGTATTCTAACATTTGCACACACACAACATACGCTGTTACTTATAAAGTCGCCCTGAGATTGTAGAAGGGAAATAGGGGAGCTAAACAAGCCAATCTTATGGGGTATCAGTCATGAAGAGGAGAAATTGAGTGCAAGAGAATCACACCATAGTGCTTTTCACTCGTTCGAAGATCTGATGGACTTTGACGGCAGGGACACAACCTTCCCTCACAATGGTGATGGTTCCTGTGTAAAAGTGTAAAATAAAAAGTAAAACATAGGCTTGGGTTAGATAGTGCCAGTGAAACACACAGAAAAGAGAGAAACATAATGGGATTTCTCTTGCATTTTACCTTCATCAATTTTGAGGCAGTTGACCACAGTAGAAGCAACAACTTCATTTGAGTCCCCGTCACACAGAACCCCTTGGAGCTTGTGTCCCAGTCGACTGTGGCAAAAATAAGATAGGAGAAAGAATGTGAGTCAATGTCCGTCCATGAAGAATATTCAATCATGACACATTTTGTCTCTCGGGATTAAACTGCTGTAAAAGGACATTCAGAGGATAGACACTGACTTGATGACCATGGTGTGGTGGGTGCTGTCTGGCTCTCCGCTGGGGTTGGCTGATGTAATAGCAAGGGGTCCGGTGATGTCACATAGGTGGCCGGTCACTGTGTGGTCAGGGACTCGGATCATGATGCTGTCCTTAGTGCCAACACGGTCATAAGCTGGACCAACTCCTACACAAGATACATTGAGGTGAGCTGACAATTGATGGAAGACTTGTTAAATGGGTCCAGTAAAGCAGCTGTTAAACTGTTTACCTAGTTTGAAGAGCCAGTCTCCTTTGCTGACGATGCAGCTGATGCCTCCTGGATACACGTTCCTCATAAACTCCCAGAGCAGAGGGCTGAAGGGAGGCTTGGCTGCCACCAGCTGCTCCACATTAGAGATACAAATGCAGATGGGCTTCTCTGCTGGTCTGTCCTTGAGGAAGACACAGAAAAAAGGTTGATGAGTTTCACATTAAAGCTAAATGTGGATTTAATGATTTCAGATTACACTTTAAAATGATAGCAACTACAAGCATTCTTACTTTAATATTGTAGATGTTCTCAATAGCTCGGGGGTTCTTGCAGGAGGCAGACAGGGCATACACAGTGTCTGTGGGAATACCGCACACTCCTCCTTCCTCCAGAAGGCCAGCGATCTTCATGAGGCTGCTGGTGAGTCGAGAATTAGCAACAGGACAGGGCAGCTCTGGAACAGACTCCCACCTCACTTTCTCCTAAGGAAGGCCAAAGAGTTAGGGATAATTTCATGGAATACATTGGATAGAATATTACAGACTATGTAGAATTAGCAACAAATGCAAAAATAGTATCTTAATTGGTTACCTTTATCAAGGGAGGGCCCATAGGCAGAAGTCTATGTGAGAAGATGCAGTTCACCAGTGACGCCAGAGCCCCATATATACAAATTGTTGAAAAAAGTGCAAGCATGGCAACTGTAAAGAAGAGGTTGTCAACATGTTTTAATAACAATATGGATTTGATTTTACAGATTTGATTTTAATTCAGGCCTTTATCTATATTTAAAAAAGGGACATTCATCTCAAAATGAAGCTTTGTCTATACTTACTTTCTAATTCATATGGAAGTCGTTGCAGAGTGGAAAGCAGGAAACATACCAGAACGACCTCCATGACTGATGTTAGAAACAGCAAAACCAGGTTCCTATAGGCAGCTGACATGGACAATATAAACATGAAAAAAAGCTAAAAAAACAAACTAATGAAATCTCCAAACTCTCTTAAAATAGAATCCTTGACCTTACCAATGAGCATAAGGAAAGCGTTAATGACCAGGAGAGCAATGGCTCCTGCTGTGAAACCGTATGCTGCCTCTGCGGAGAGCTGAAGCAGGTTGCCTAGAAAAGAAAAACGTGGGATCAGAATGTGTGTAATTCAGTCACAACAAGTTTTCTTTTAAACACATGTTTGTCATGACATACCTGAAAACCTAAACCAGGTCCAGGTTGCCCATACTGCTACGTAGATGGTTGGAATGACTGAACCAAAACGACCCCCTCCTGTGACCTGCAGCCGGCTGACATAGGCCTGGATGATGGCTCCAGAGATCAGGACCCAGGGGACAGTCAGATGAAGGAAGGCAGGATTCAAACTGGAAGAACGTGCATGAAGAGCTGAGAGAGCTGCAACCCCATTAGAAATGTAGAACAGGGCGTCTGATCCCTGGTCAGTTTGGGGCTGCGCCTCCTGGTCTCCCTGCTTGGCCCTGCAGCACATGAGAGCCTTCTTCAACATCTCAGAGGAGATGGGCTGGGGTCCCACAGGGATCAGAGACTTCTCTGCTATGGTGTTGATGAGACGCGAGAAGGTACAATACAGGGAGGCTGCGGTGAACAGGGAGCAAGCTACACCAAAGAAGATGTAGTATCCCTGGAGAGCAATCTGGGGGATTGTTGAGAGCGTGAGCAGGACGAACAGCAGGTTGTGGATCAGCTCCAGGACATCTGTGTTGAGGCTTCCCACGCAGAGCACCACACCTGCCATCACAAAGAACCAATTCCCCACCATTGCTTCCCTCCCTGAGGCCACTTTGCCGTCCTCCAAAACCAGAGCAGATAGCACAAACTCATCCCAAGCCTTGATCAGCCAATATGTGGCATGAAGACCAAACTTAGTGGTGTGGTAGCAGTCTTGGCGCAGATGGGCGTAATAGCTGGAGAACAGCTGGGCAACTGTGATGATTGAGACCCATGCCACTCCAACACCAAAAGACTTAATGTACCCAAAGCTGTAGAAAGCAAAGATGAAGGGGGCTACAGTGTCACAGAAAAAACCCAAGGCCATCGGCTCAGCATATTTTGTATTTTTCTTCTTCTCTTGGCCAATTCTCTGGGCGCTACCTGAGTTGGTGGTCCCGAGCAGGAGGACATTAAAGAGAGGGGTACCAAAGCCTTTGAGGACTAGACGTTGAGTCAGACCTTTTCCAAGCAGTGCAGCTGAACCATAGATGGCAAAAATCAGAATAAGCAACTCCAGAACCCCAGAGACCACGAGAGCCCAGGAGCTCGCTACCAGACCCACTGCTTCAAAGACTAAGGTGGCTGTGATGGCCCCGAAAACCAAAGGCATGATGTAGTTGACTGTGGCAGAGCAGAAGGCGAGGAGAAAGGACAGAAGGATGTAGGGGACCAGACCAGCAATGGCTGTCTCCTTTATGGACAGGCATACATGGCAAACTGGGATCACCATGGTGGAGGTCAGAGACATGTTGCTCGTGATATTAGTGGACAGGGACAAATTGTTCATCATTTGAGCTGGCAAAGGTATTATTGTTAGGGTTTGAGCTGAGGCACCAAAGTAGATTCTAGTGGCACCATAACTGCCCCAAAGTGCAGCGTAGCCAATAAAGGCAGTGCCGCTCAGATGATCGTATTTTCTAAAGGAAAGCATTCCTGCAACTAGTTGGCATACACCACCAATCAGGATGAGATGGACACCTACAAAAAAACATAGAATTGAAATTACTAAAACGAGTTTCGCAGATAGGTACAATAGATACAAATGTATTAATATCAAGGAAACATTTTGTATCAAAGATTGTGAAGAAAAAAATTAAAATAGAAAAGTAAATTACAACAACATCAGTAAATATAAATATATTTTAAACAATTTCAACCTGCTAGGATGTTCTCCACCCCGGCTGGTGCAGTGCCAGTGTGTGCTGTGTGGAAGTTCTGCAGAAGAACGAGGAATGCACTGATCCCATTGGATAACATGCCCAACACTCCTGGTTCTCCATAGAAACTGGCTGGAAATCCATCTGACGCCATCAGGTCTTTGTTTTCAAGCTGAGTCAAAGAAACTAATCACACAGACAACACATCCATAAGTGTATGAACAATTTCCATTATGTTGTGCAATACCAAACGCAGGACTTGCCTGAAATATAAACTGATACTTTTGTTTTAATCTCGATTTACTGTAACAATTGATTTGCTAAAGTAGAGTAGTAAAAAACTCAAAAAGACTCAAATAAAATTATCATGTACCATAAATATTTAGTTGAACACAAATAACAAATGGTTATGTCATGAAATGTAACGTAAATCAAGTACTTACAGTACTCACTCTTATCTCCCTAATCATTTACAGGAACATGAGAGTCTTTGCCCCCCCGCCCGCCCTGTCATAAGTATGCTTAGTGTGACCCACTGTAGCAAGACACACAAGGAATATTATTTTTAAATCCAACTTTAATACTCCAATGCCTCAAAATAAGCATGTCACAATTTAACATTTTATCCATAAATTACACTTAAGATTAGATTTACTGAAATCTACCAAAACACAGATTCTGGTTTCATTATGTCTTATATTCTTTCAGTTTCAATTTGAGTAGTCTATGGTAAAATATTTTCAAAAACAGTTTAACGTTGTATTATATATTTCATCTAATGGCAGCTTTTCACCCTGTGTCAATCTTGTTATCACCATCACTTTATATTTGGCATTTTATTACATGTAATAAATTGTTTCTACTAGCTAGTAATACAGCAATTAAAAACAAAGTCTTACCTGGTGAAGATACTCGGACAGAGGAGCTGCTGAGTTGAAGCAGGGATTCAATAAATAAGTCCTCCTGTTTGTAGGAGGAGTTCATGAAAATTCCCCAACTTGAAGTTTGCAACCTGAGAGGTGACATCACTGCTCTTCATCTTAGACAATGAAGTACCACTCCTTCCTCCTCTTCTACCCAGGAAGACCATCCTGGTTATGACGATATTGAGGATGATGATGATGACCACCGTGGAAATTCCATTAAACCATAAGGTGTTGTTATAGATTTGCCCATCCCTGTTTTTTCCAGGTCAGCATTAGAAGCCATTGTGAGGCTGGGACTATATAAGGAAGGCACGCTCTGAACCTGAGAAGCATCAGCATCATCTGAACAACCTGTTGACTGCAAAGAGCAACGAGAGAGAAACAGCTGACTGAAGCCATGATCTCCACATTACAGGTAAATATTTATAGATATAAGTATATTTCTTATTAATAGAACATCTAGATAGTCATACATATTACTAAGGCTTGAGTAACTCAATTAGATTGTTAGGTGTCCTTAAAATATTCATCTTAATCCAGTCAGCTCTAAACTAATATAGCTTGCACTAGGTGTTTTTGTTCTTGTTAAGGGAGAATTAACCTGAGCAGATTACACACACTGTACCATACCCAGCACAATAGCTTTTTCAAAAGAGTTATTTTCATTATAAGGATGCCAATATCCACAAATAGCTGATTTAATTAAACCAGAGTCTGGCAGAAAATCATTGTGCGTGTGCTCACTGACGGTAATTAATCTGAGATAGTTAAACAATTATTGTCACACTTAGTGGTTTACAGGTGTCAGTAAGGATTTTATGTTTCCTTGTTCCTGCAGAAAACCATTCGACCAGTATGGGCTGTCAGGGGGCTGCATAAGTCTGCAGTAGAAGGTAAACTTAACTACATCTCTTTGTCTGAACACAAAAAGACCTCTTTACTTACTCCTGACCTATAATATCCTTTCTCTTTCTCCCTGCAGCCTTGAAGCGCCCGGACCCTGAAGACACAGTCACAGCCAGCTATGGGAGGTTCATCAGTGAAGTCAAGCCTCAGCACTTGTCATCACTGGTGCTTCACCGCAGCAAAAGAATGGTGCTGGACAGCATCGGAGTTGGTCTCATTGGCAGCACTACAGACGTGTTTGAATTGGCCCTGCAGCACTGCCAGGTGAGGCGAAGTCAATAGAAATAACCTGAAGGTATTATCTGATATGAAGCAATAAGACAGATGAAAGCAATTATTGACCTTTGGCAAACAGTAGTCGCAAGTCAGTGCAAGTGCTGTGTGGACAGATCAGATGGGTTTAAAAAAACAACCATGTTATTATTAGGCAGAAGTTCGTCATATATCGTGAGAGGGGTTTATTTATGCATGGTGACCTTTTTCTCCAAATGTCTGTGTTTGACTTGAGCACACACAACTTTTGTATCAAAAATTTCCTTGTGACAACACCCTGTGTTTACCTGTCTCTGTGTTTCCCGCTCCAGCACATGTATGCTCCTGATGACATCAGCTCTGTTTACGGACGCAGAGGCAGCAGGCTCTCTCCCACACTGGCTGCTTTCGTCAATGGAGTGGCTGTGAGTACAAACAGGAGGAACAGATGGGTCACAATTGTCCCCAGTGCACATCAGATGCACTAAAACCATCTGTGCATCCCATCGAAAGATGGGTTGATGAAAATACTGACTTGACCCCGCATTACCCTTCTGTAAAAATGTCAATCATTTTGTCAGCAAACATTGCTTGGCTTTCATACTTTAAGCAGCAGTTCATTTCTGCAGCAGTTACTTTTAGTTGTATATTTTCATTAAAAACAGTAATTAAACAGTCCATTTTCATTTGAATTCAATCTGTTTGTTTTTTGTGTGATGCAGACTCACTCCATGGACTTTGATGATACATGGCACCCTGCCACTCACCCCTCAGGAGCGGTCCTCCCTGCTGTGTTAGCACTCAGTGACATGATGCCTAACAGCAAACCCAGTGGCCCTGACTTCCTGCTGGCATTCAACGTCGGCATTGAGATCCAAGGCAGATTGATGAGGTTCTCTCATGAGGCCCACAACATCCCTAAGAGGTGAGCGCCTCAGGGAGTGGGTCAGATTAGTCAAATATAATGTTATTCTTAGGGTTATAAAAACATTTATGAAGGTTTGTACTTACTGGGTCTTACAGTGATTAATTGAACGATCTAAAGCCAGCTTATTATTGAGTATTTTGAATTTTTACTTTACGCGAAGAACAAATATCCACATGAGTCTAAAGAGCCCCATATTTGATTCTGCAGATCCCTGCAGTGTGGTTTACAAGGAGGTTAGTGCAGTGTAATGGGCAGCCTCTTAGTGGTGTCAATGAGCTGTGAAAGGCTGGTTGTCATGTTCATATCAAGGACAGCAGAGCCTCTGTGGGTAGTGTTACCACAATTAGCCATGTGTTCGAGAGTATCGCACAGGAGGACTACTTTTGGCAAATGTGTACACCAAGTCAAATCACCCAACACACTATTTACTTGTTTGTCAAATACTAAAATGGCTTTGAACCATTTTCCTGAAATAAGCTCTCTGAATGTGGAAAGTCTTTGGAAAGTGTACCAGATTCTAACAAACAGGCACCTTTACACAAACATAATGATGAAAAACACAAATTTGAAATGTTCTGTCCCAGGTAAAAATAGTCTTAACACATTTTAACACAGTTTCTTTCTCCCTTATCACCAGGTTTCACCCTCCAAGCGTTGTGGGGACCATGGGGAGTGCAGCCGCCTGTGCTCGCCTCTTGTCTCTAGATCACTCCCAGTGCAGTCATGCCTTGGCTATAGCTGCTTCTCTCTCTGGAGCCCCAATGGCTAATGCTGCCACTCAGTCCAAACCCCTTCACATCGGTAATGCCTCACGTTTGGGGCTGGAGGCTGCTTTGCTGGCCTCCCGGGGCCTTGAGGCAAGTCCTCTGGTCCTCGATGCTGTTGCTGGTGTGGCCGGCTTCGATGCCTTTTATGAAGACTATGTGCCCGAGCCTTTAGAATCCCCCAATGACGGCCATGTGTTCCTGCTAGAGGAGCAGGACATGGGCTTCAAGCGCTTCCCAGCCCATCTGGGGATGCACTGGGTAGCAGATGCTGCTGCCTCAGTCCATAAGCTCCTTGTGGGGTTGGGCCCTGGCACTGTCTCCCCATCTCAAGTCCAAGACATCCTGCTCAGAGTCCCCAAATCAAAGTACATCAACAGGCCATTCCCCGAATCTGAGCATGAGGCACGCCACTCCTTCCAATTCAACGCTTGCAGCGCTCTCCTGGATGGCGAAGTGACCGTGCAGTCCTTCACTCCGGCTGCTCTGATGCGCCCAGACCTCCTCGCTCTGCTGAGTCGTGTTCGCGTGGAGCATCCCCATGACAACCCTGCTAATTTTAACAGCATGTATGGGGAGGTCCAGGTTACACTTGTTGAGGGAGAAATTCTGAAGGGACGCTGTGACACGTTCTACGGTCACTGGCGTAACCCGTTGACCAATGAGAGCCTGAGGAAGAAGTTCAGAAACAACGCGGGGGCGGTGCTTCGCTCAGAGCAGGTGGAGGGGCTGATTGATGTGGTGGGGGGGCTGGACACACTTGGAGACTGCAGGGACCTTCTCTCACAGCTGCAATGAGACAAAGAAATGACATTGAAATAGAAATTATTGTGTGCAAAAATATATAAAATACATTTAGCAAAGATCTTTTTTGTAAAATGTATTTGACACATTTGCCCAAATCCAGGCTGGAAAATGTAACTTGTTTCCCTTATGTAATTGGTGATGGTGAAAAGGCCACTATGTTGTACACTATGATTCTTTAACACCCGTAATGACAAATACTGAAATATCTCTTGAGCCATGTCAAAACATATTTATGAAATGTACAATTATGTATGCTGAATTATGTGATTGTATAGTCATATAGGACACTTTTAACTTGTAAAATATGATCTAGTAACATAACAAAGACGAAATGAAGAAAAATGTATGAATTTATATATTACGTTTTTATTAGTATACTTTCAGATATTAATGTTGTCAAAATACTGCACTTTATGTTTTTTGTGCCCAATAATGTAAGATGTTTATTTCTCCACATTGCAATGTTTAATGCTTTAAACATGTAAATACAACACTGTTTTCTCTTCCACATTTCAGAATTTCAAACATGTAGCATTTCTGTTTGTGTTATGAGCTTCAATAAACTTACAAAAAAAAACACAGTCTAAGAAATTAAATATTTGACAGAAGAAAATTATAATGTGTTTTGTTTGGCCATGGAAGCTACTAATCTGTCTTTTGTGAGTCCTTAACACACAATGAAAATGAAAGCAAAAGAGTAGGTTATAAAAGAAAATTCAACAAGCTGTATTTCCCAAGAAGACACAAAGAAAAGAAATTACTCATGATATCAGAAAGTACACTACAGTCATTCAGTTGACAACTCGCAGTTAATCATCTGGAACTGAATCCATGTATGCAGTCTTTTTCTCAACAAGTAGGACAACATTTGCAGAACAACTGAGTCAATAAATAACTGCATACAAAAATCCAATGAAAGTACTTTTCTTTTCCAAGTGTAGTTCACACAAAAACAGAAGGATGTGTTTGTAAAATTGGAGCAATGCTGGGAAGAGAGGGCTGGTTTCCTCATTCCAGTCTGTATCCTTCAGTTAATGTGTGGCAGTAAGTCTGCAGGAGATGGAGACAAGTGGGGTTTGTTTTATGCACCGGTGTGCAATGGGACATCTGAATGGAGAGAGTGTTTTTGCAAAGTCTTAATAAGGGTAAGTATTAATGCCAGATTAAGTTAATTATTCAAGTGATTTCTAAACAGAGTCTATAGCAGCCCAACAAGGTTCTAATTAACAGTTAATGTATTAATTTTGATCTTATCTTACAAAAAGAGGGACACCCAATTTATTCATGTTGTTTATTCATTTGTACACACTTTTCTCTGTAATTCTACTTGACATATTCATTAATCTTTCGAAATCTTGGGGACGTAAAACATTTAAGTTACATTTGGGCATACTGCTGCATATCAGCAGATGACATTCAACCTGTATAAAACAGTGCGTGCACTGTGTACGTATACAATCATTTAAGACTAGGACTTTTTCAACTAAATGTCCTATTGTAAAAGCTAGGTTTTGTGTAAAAGCAAAAACTAACACCTTGTAACCAAGCTTTTAAATTAACAAAAAGGGTCTGCACAATGTTCTCAGCGTCAACAGCAGACACTACACTTCCTAAGCGAGAGAACGGAATATATAAGGAGTTTTCCACAAAGGTCCACAGATCAGGTTACAAACACTATATGACCTTTGTGTCTTAAATTACAAGAGCAGATGTGTACAATTCTTCTTGTAGAAAAACATTTTGGCCCCAAATGAGTTCCCTATTTCTATAAAGCACTGGATCAATACAGGTTATCACTAATCATCTGAACATGGTCTGTTGTGTTTGGCAAAAAAGGAAAGAAAATCTAGGGCACAGTCTTTTGACAGTCTTCCACCAGTACCAGGGGATAATGGGGTTTCTGACTGATGTCATGTTAACGCATACGAATTAGAATAGATGGTAAAGACACTTCGGATAAGGTACTGTTGTCCCTTTGCATGGAAATAAAAACATTCCCTATGAATACAGCATTGAGGTAAGATGGAAATACTAAAAGAAAGAAAGAAAAAACAGTCATGTGATTTCATAATTTGTTTTTCACTTTTATCCAATTGTTTTTTTTAAAGTCTTTTTTTACTTTAAGGTTGTGTTGTCACGTAAAAGAAACAATACAAATTCAAAGAAGGAAATAAGCAATAGATACAATGCAATGGCCAGGCAATGGATACCAGTATGTTTATACAGGGATAATTATGAGCATTGGGTCAAATTACCCACACGTCAAGGATATGTTCTATTGCCAGGAATGTTTTCCTAAGGATACTTGCAGTTCTTGCATATCTCTGAGTTATCGTAAACATTACCATGGTAAAAATAGCAATACAATATCTAAGCTAAAAATATCCCCTCAGGTGTAAAATGTTGTCATAAAAGACTTTTGTGTGGTGACATATCAATGACAAGGGAATTCAAACACAATAGAGATAGATTATAGGTGTAAAGTTCTACTTTATACTCCGCCCACAGCAAACAAGATTACACAATATTTGCTCAGACTTCTTTATAGACGTAAATCTTTGACAGAGATTAAGTTTCCATACAACAATGGATAGACAGGTTTCTTTTGATGAGTGCCAGTAAGTCCAATGTTACGGTTTACATTCAGGAAACAGGGAAAAAAAATATTCTTCTCACTAATGATAACTTTCATTCATGTGCACAATGCACTGCCCCTTACACGCAGGTTTCAGATAAGGTAGCACCGTTAACTCAGCCTTCAGTGGTGTCATCTTGTCACTGATAACAGACCACAAACAAAGTTACGATTGTGATTCGATACGTGGGGTGATAGTGGGTGAAAATACAGAGACAGAGAAATGTTTATCTTCTAGCTCTTCAGTGCATGTTATTTTAACATTGGGGGAAAATATTGAATACAGGGAATTGTGAACCTAAGAAAGGAATATTCAGTACTGACAAAATTAACTATAGCCCTATATTTGTGCTACAGTCTTGTTGATCGATGCCCAGTTGTGTACAGAGTTGAGACTGTCTTGAACTGTCTTTGTACTGTTTTAGTGTTGGACATGATGTGTTCCAGCTGCAGGATGTTTTAAGAGAAATGCACTACTGAAGAAATAAAAGAGAAGTACACATTTGTCATGGCCCATGCGCCAGCGTGTGTCTATACAGTATACTATTCACATAATAGTATACCTATTCAGTGTTTGTGAATTAAATGAGGAGAAATGTTGCCTATTTCAAGTACATCTGACCCACTAGTCAATGTGCTTTACAGTAGTAAAAAACAAAAGTCCCGATAACTCAACGCCACATAAGAAATTGAAAATTAGATTTTTTTCAACTGTCTTTTGTAACATATGATGAAATATGATATTATCTTAATAATAAATAATACATTGACATTCTATTCAAACAGGCTAAGCACTACTGCAATGAAACTAATAAACTGCGGCAATAAAAGGCTTACAATATGAAGACATAATAAGCCAATATTGTCTAAAGAGTTATTTAGATGATGGCGAAAAGCAGACACACCAGAGCCTTAGGTGCATGGCAGATCCTTTATTTTCCTCTAAAATAAGCAATCATTGGTTCGGTTTTTCTTTACAAAGTATAACAAAAAAAAGGTGTGATCAAATATTCTAGTCTACACATAATTATAATAGCAACAACTGGTCAGCAGAGTTACACAGAACCAGTCTGTCTACACAGCCAACTGCTCTCTGAAAATAGTGCTGTGTTGTTTAAGTACAGTAATTGGGGTTCTCACACTTCACAGCTAAACTCTAATTAGTGTGAATGCTGTGCAACAGCTTTCCACTATAGTTCTTCTGTTCTTTAATCTTCTTCTTATTATTTCAACCAATATTTTGCCGTCGAATAACTTCAGCCTACTTTCAGCTACAGGAACCATTAAACTTTCAACTTTTTCAAAATATTTTATACTTTTCAAAATATTCAGTTTTTTAATCTCTTTTTTTAACATTTAACTCAATGGGAGGAACCTTCAAATCCTCTTTTACCTACACCTTGCGCCAAATGCTACTCCTTCCACATACTTTCAGCTAGAGACTTCATTCCAACTTTAAAATGATCCTAAGACATTCAGCTATAAAACTTGTTCTTCAGATTTTTGATATCTTTTACACTTTTTGAGATATTTAACTTAGTTTGGAGCTTGGTAAAGAGGTCTTCTTCAGATTTTAACATTAATGTGTATTGCGCAGCTCGTTAAGGCTTAGAGTGCGTGATGTCACAGCTAGAGTGGAGGAGAGCTTGAAATTCGCTTTATTTTTATTTTTTTAAACTGCCATAATTCCTAAACCCTAGACTCCTGGGACATAATGTTATGCTTTTTTAAAATTAATCAAGTCCTTGACATGCTTCACGCGTTGACATTTTACCGAAAGCAGCTACCGTTTTTTAAACTATAGTTAGAAATGTAAGAGGTTTATCTGTCATTCAGAACAATGGAAAGGCTCTCCTTTCATCTCCATGGAAACCTTTGATCATCTCTGGGCTCACACACATGTGTTATGATTAGCTGTTATGATTAGGTGCTCAGCACAGAAACAAACACTGACAAACAGACTGGAGTTTAACAGACTGTCTCAGCCTATTATTTTCTGTCTGATGGAGACTTCATACTGACTTCAACATGTTCCACATATTTTATACATTATTGGTGACGTATGGTTTTAGTTCAAAAGTTTGCAGTTAAAATATTCTACTGCTTTTCAAAGCGTTTTTACTTTATTTTCTCTGCTTAATGCACATTCATTCACTACTACTTAAATGCAATATCTAACTCCTTCAGCCTACTTTCTGCTACAGAAACCATTCAACTATTAAATTATTCAGCTATTTCAGGACATTGAGGCTATACATTTTGTTGTTTATACCTTTTTTAAACCTTTTATTTTAAATATTAAGCTTCTTCACTATTTGTCCTACTCTTCCAGTTTAACATTTCACTTTCAAGTTTTCAACAAAGTCATTGCAATGCATTTGAGCTGTAACAATTTTGATTCAAATCATTTCACTTTTCTGCATTTCTCCGCTAAGTTTAGCAACACACTTACTTGGTTTTTGTAGCTAAAAGCAGCTACAGAGACCATTCAACTAATTAAAATATTCAGCTTTTTCTGCATTTTCAGCTAAATTCAGCAACACATGTACACAGTTTACAGCATTCGCACGCATTTTCAGCAGGAAATGCATTTTCTAGTTGTACTTAGTGGATCCCTCTGGAGTCGACTGGTTATAGTTTGAAACTTCGATGAGGTTGTGGTCTGGATCTCTGAAGTACAGAGACGTGATGGACCCCACAGCTCCACTCCTCTCCACCGGTCCCTCCTCTATCTCCACCCCACAGACCTGCAGAGAAGAAGAGACAACAGCAATTGACGCTGAGCATTTCAGAGACACCCAGAACGGTGAGAAAATGTGATGCACAGACAACTAGAGTCACGTGGCTTTAAAGGTGTAACCATCTTAAAATATTTAAATTGGCATTATTCATTCAAGAGAGTCTGTAGGAAACCTTCAGATGTGAAGCCACTGTAGCGAGGGGGGTTTTGGTGATGAGGCACAGGTCCGCAGAGCCTGACGTTGGATGCTTGGCTTTGGGCTCAAACTCCTGACCCAACTGGTGAAGGTTAAACTTCTGCTGCCCAAAACCCAGGGCCTTACGATCTCCCTTGAAAACGCAGAGAGAGCAGGTGATGTGGGAAAGCTCAAAGCAGCTCATAGTGGGAGTACATAACAGTAGAGACACTCTCAGCTGACATACAGTCAAAGCCTGCCATCTAGTGGATGTTCTCTCAAACCAAAAGCAGACAGTATTTCACCTTAAAGGGGACCTATCATGCAAAATGCATGAATATGTGTCCCCGGTGTTCCAGGGAACTCACCAAGTGTCAGAAAACACAACCCTCTCTATTTTCCTCCATACCCAAATCTCTAAAAAAGGGGCTGCAACGGATCTGATAAAAACTGATCCAGATTTTAACACTGTCCTGACGCCAGGACGGTGGCGCTACGGCTATTGGGCCAACTCCACCAATCAGGAGGAGACAACCACGGCATTGCCGTTCGAAAGCGCTGGAGACGCTGTAGTACATATGCCAGGCCTCTAGATGGTCCTGTTGCTCACAGAATCAACCCTTGCAAAAACAGAGCTAACATTTTTCAAATTGAGCGAAATGAGGCATGGCTAAAATGCATGATCTGTTTGGTATTTTGAAAAAGAAAAAGTATAAATATGCCTTATATAGGTATGGTCCTACACTATATTATTCAAATATAGCATGATAGGTCCACTTTAACTAATCACTACATAAACAACGCATGGATAATGATAATACTGACACATTAAATGATTAGAATTATTAACACTAAATTGATCCCCAGGAGGGGAATGGGGTTGTGTTATTGTGGTGTCTATTTGAAATGAATAAGAATATAAATTGAACAGTTATGTTAAAATTGCGAATGAAGATATTGCATAAACTATATTCAATTAATTAGCAATACTTAATCTGACTTACTATGAGTATGCCTACTAAAACCTACTAATACCTGCTACTACTGTTACTGATGATCAGTGGCGTACTGGCCATCGGGACGTTCGGGACGAATCCCGATGGGCCGGTACTGAAGTGGGCCGGTCGGACGATGTGGGCCGGTCGGATAAGTCACTAGCACCCCCCCGTTGACAATTTACTAGCGGTATTTACTTGCGGTACCGAGGTGGGCCGGCGGTACCGAAGTGGGCCGGTCGAGAGTCCAAGGCTGATTTTTAGTCCCAGTCCGCCCCTGCTGATGATACTACTACAACCATTACCACTAAGATAATAATAGTACATTTACATTTAAAAAGCACATTGCAAACCTTGAAAGTGATGACTTCCATGCCCAGGACTGAGGTATAAAAGTTGATGGTGTCTGGCACACTTTTCACAGTCAGAACCAAATGATCCAGACGGCTCACTTCAACAGGACAACTTGTTTTGAACCTGACAAAGCCAAGTGTTTGGATGGAGACCTGCTGTAAGAGATAAGACAAATACATTCTAGGGATTAAACAACAACTTTATGTTGATGGCATGGACAGAGCTGGGTTAATGCTATTCAAGATTAATAAAACGTTCTATATTGGCTATATTTATAAACAAGATAATACAAAAATGTAACATATTGTAAAATTAAAAAGCCATACATTATAAATAAATTATCTGGGCATTTCATTTGTATATATTATTGTGACAATTACCTTTTTGACTGTGCAATAAAAACATTTTAAATCAGAAACAGCACCGCAGTGTGGCGACAATGTAGCCTACGGCACACTGTAAGGACCAGAAAGGTGTGTTAAGCAAAACGTTGATGTAGACCAGCAACACGTCTACATCAACGTTCATATCATATAATCATAATGATTAACAGTCTATTGTATGAACCTATTTTTCGGTTATTAACATACCGAATTATCTAAAGGGAAGTCTTAACTGCTGGTACTTCTGCCTTTACAACGTGAGACGCGAGTGATAAGTAGTGGGAATACATTTAGCGGTTAAATTGGCAGATAATCTCAATAAAGTACCTTTAAAACGTTCCTCTGAAAGTAAAAGAAACGACCTCCAGCTGTCCGCAGCGCCATCCTTGCTGTAGTCTGCGGGTTGGAGCACTTCCTTGTTGTTGCACCTCTGTGTGTGAACCTCAGACTGTGAACCCGCTGCAACTGGCCAACACAGAGGAACCACTGAAGAGAGGCATTAACAAACTCCGATAACTACAACCTTTCACTAACATACTTTTCCAGATTACGTCTCTATCGAAAAGACACCTATGAACAAATTAAAAATGTCTATTAAGTTTTACATTTTCTCACAAATCTGCCAGTAGGCGGTGCTAGTACTTACACACTTTCACAGATGCAGAGACCAAACGCCAGTGGTGGAAAGTAATAAAGTACATTTACTGAAGTACTGTACTTAAATTCAAATATGAGTTATTTGTTCATAACTTGAGGTTTTCTATCTTATGCTACTTTATTCTTCTTTACTAGGCCCACAGCTTTGAGGAAAATATTGTACTTTTAACTCCACTTTTAATTTAATTTGATAAATTAAGTTACTTTGCAGATTCCTATTGTACAAAAATCTAACCAACTAAAAATATATTGTAATATTATGGATAGATGAGTCCAGTTAATCCCTTAGTCAAATGCACAATCTCTTTGACAATGTGAAATAATACACATTATCCACATCAATGAGTCAATTATTAAATTACATTATGTACAAAAGAGTCATGGACCATTCTGCCTAGGAAGGACTTTTGGTACTTTATTTCAATATTAATGGAACCACTTTTGTACTCCTAATTTGTATATTTTGTAATGCTTTTACTTGTTACATTCTGGGGCACTGTGGCATTAGTACTGAAGTAAAACACGAGTATTTGTTCCACCACTACCAAATGCATCATAAACAAAGATGTGTTACACATATTTTGTATTGTGTAATATGCACAATGTGTGCAATATGTTATGGTCTGGACATTAAAGGGAACACAAACCATGCTCTGCTGCTTCCACTCCACACCATCATTCAAAGTCATGATTTTGCCTTGGATTAAAAAATGTTAGAAACCAAATATAAAGCGGTAGGAAAAACATATCAATGAACATCTCAACTCGTCATATCAAAACAAACATGAAAATAAAAGTATATTTAGACCGTTTAATATATAAGGTAAAAGTAATAATATAATTATTGTGTGCACCTGAATGCAGAATAAAATTACCAAGCAGCAAAGTAAGTGTACAGAATGCGTACCTGCTAATGCATTTTGTAGCATAACAACGTGTTTAATTCAGCGGTTAGTTTCATTTAACACCCAGTTAACATACTGCACTGGGTGACACAGAACAAGGCCAAGACTAAGGAATGGCCTAAGAGGGAACATACATTTCATTTACATGTTTATGGTATATAACAATGACAACGTCTTGCATTCAAACTTTTCTGTCCCACAGAGGGAAGTAATAATTGTGGCAAAGACATCAAACAGTGGAACAAGACACGTGACAGGATGGCATTCATTGTGATGCCCATTACTCCTTTAGCCAGTGTTCCTGTTCATCGACAGTGCTATTAAAACCTACAGAACTTCTAAATAAAATAAAATAACTTCAACACATTTTAAAAGGTAATAAGTCTTCATTTAAGATTTTAGCCATTAACAACAGTTTTAACAATAGCATACATTTATATCATGGTTTGTATTTCCCTACTTTCACTTTAGCATGTATTGCACACTGATATGGAGCATCTGCTCATGGGGTAGAAGGAGGCAAGCATTACGACTTTCTACTGGAGCCTTATTAAGACAGAAGGAAAATAGTGTGAATGTTTTCAGACTTAGTTGGCGTCTGAAACTCAAATCTTTGGGTTAATAACTTAAGTTGGACCTCCGTGTAAAGAGCTATTCTGGCTGAGTTGACAGTTCAAGTGAATGTGTGGTCATTTCAATCTATGCGAAAAACAACTTAGATAACTTACTTCATTGGTCAATAATTAAAGACAATCCGATGTGTAAAAATAAAAAAGGATCAGATCTGTAGATAATGGATGACAGGACAAAAAGATTGTGAAATCATAGTTGTACATTAAAAAGCAAACAATCTTTTACATATGGGTGAAGAAAGCAAAAGAAAGTATATCTAAGTATTTCGACATGTCATGCCTGTTAGTATAGTATTTTTAAGTTGGGAAAATTCACATGCCAACAACTTAATATCAACCAAATATCTACTACCGATATTGAGACACCCCTAATTTCTGGTATTACTGCTACTTAATCATTTTTAATGATCAAGAAAATAAAGATGCTATATGATTCCAAAATAAAACTCACACTTCGATAAGGTAGCCTAGGTGGATTTATCTTTCCCTTATGTCTGTACAACATTCTTTTTTTAACCTTTCATGGTATATGCCACTCCAAAATAGTTGTTTCTTTCTGGTGAACAAGAAAATGAGAGTACACGTCACACTGTAAATGGCAAACCAATCAATGTCCTACAACCTTTGGACATCACAATCTTTAAATAATTCTGCCGTGTACATTGATACCTCCAATTGGTGCAACAGTCAATTTAGGGATGCTCTGATAGAGTAATTGCCGCCAACTTGACCTTAATCTTCATGAGATAATTTACAATCCAAAATCAATTCAATAATACAAAGTATGATTAAAAATTATTTTTACAAGCTTATTTACAGCTAATACTTTGAACTGGTGTAACTAAGAAGTGTACCAATACCCAAATTCTGGTATATAAGGCGCCATTTAGGAGATAATAGAAAAGAGCAGATGTGCCTGAACTACCTGCCGGTGTGCAGCATTTATAACCAGGGGGTCTTTAAGAGATACCGAGCCGCCTGTGTGCATGGCTTTATGCACTGCCACAAACTGCTCGGTCACTACAGGTGGATTCAAACAGCATGCATTGCTTGTGCCTAACTTTGGACTGCAATTATAAATGTCTAAATAGAGACTGAATATGTCTCGATGTCACTGTATGGAGCACCCCAAAACAAACCTGTGACTGCATTATGATTTAAACTCACAAATGGTATGAAGGAAATCCATTTCAACAGTGGAGAAACATTTCCTCAAATCCTCTTATGTACTTGGGACAAAAGGCCTGCAGTCTTTTTGAGCTACACAACACTCTCTCTGTTGGCTGACACCAAGACAGCACTGCGGCAGATGGGGCAAGTGGAGTTTTCGGATAGCCAGCGATCAATGCAGTGCACATGGTACTCATGAGAGCAGGGCAACTTACGTAGCTTGTTACCTTCTGCATATTCTGTTATGCAGACACTGCAAGTCTTCAGGGCATCACTCTCACCAAAATTGCGCATTGAGAGGTTGTCAATCTGCTCTATGGTCAGCCCTTGGGGCTGGTCCTCATCGTCATCATTTAGAAGAAAGAAGTGAGCAAGCCGCAAGAAAGGCAATGAGCTGGGCTCCGCTAGGCTGATAGGTGGTAGTGGTCTAACCCTGCCAGCTGAGGCAGGGGGAGCAGTGACAACACCCTCCTCAGTATCAGTCTCAGCTGTCCTTGCTCTGACTCCTGCAGCTACAGGGGGTTCTTCCACATCAGCAACAGGAGCCGCAGCAGGATTGGCTTCCGGGTTGTTGAGGGCTTCAGCCAGATCTGCAGGTGTGGTGGCTCCACGGTTTGAATCTGACGAATCGGAGTCTGAGTCCATGAGGTAGCCGAGTTCACCAAAACCAGTCATTATTTGCCTAATCATAGATTGGAGAGCCATCGAGGTGGCCTCCCCCAAACCTGCATCAGAGATTCTTCGGATAGGGATGCGAATAGTGCTGACGTAGGTCCTCACCCCAGCACGCTCAGAGCGTGAGAAAGTCCTGCGAAATCCACCACGCTCACTCTCATAAAGAAATGTGTTGTTTGAGTTCTGGGAGCGTGAACGGGTGCGGCTAGCAATGCTGTCTCTTTGCCGATATTCGCCTGGACGCACACGACGCACCTGGAGATCAAGCATAATGGTAGGGGGACGGCGCCCTGCTGCGGCCCCTTCCCCTGCAGCAGCTTCTCCTTCCTGAGCTCCTACAGGTTGGGCCTCTGGGACCACTTCTGCACTAGCCCTAGATGGCTGAACATCAACGTCAGCAGTGCTTTGCCTAGAAAGAACGTGTTGTCGAGTCCGTGAACTGCCCTCCACTTGAAGCACAGGGGGAGCATTGGTGGCAGGGTTGAGGCCTTGAGTGCTGTGAGCATGACGTGGATTCGGGAGGCCATCCAGGCGATCCAGGTTGAGAGGGGAGCGGCTCCTGGCCGTGCGCGCCCTGGTCCTGCGTGGTTCTGGACTACGGCTGCGGGCTCTCCGCTGTCCTCTGCGTGGAGAAGGAGAGAGTGGGGGTTGTGGTGGTTGTACCAGCAGGGCGGCAGTTGAGAGGAGAGGTTCTCCTAAAATCTCTTGTGAAACAACTTCTTCTAGTTCAGGCTCTGGTTCAGGTTCTGGTTCCTGCTCTGTTTCAGGTTCAGGTTCAGGTTCCTGCTCTGGTTCCTGCTCCAGCTCTGGTTCCTGCTCCAGCTCTGGTTCCTGCTCCAGCTCTGGCTCCAGCTCCGGCTCCGGATCCAGCTCTGGCTCCAGCTCTGGCTCTGGCTCGACTATCACAGCCACTTCCTCTACAACCGGTTCTTCCACCACGTCCGTCTCCATGGGTACCTGTGGTTCAGCCTCCACCACAAGTGGTTCAACATTAGCCACCATTTCTTGACTCTCTGGGGTTTCTTCTGAAGTTGCCTGCGGAGTTTCCTGTGGAGATTCGTGTGGAGATTCCTGCTCCCCTTCAGCAGCTGCCTGCTGTTCAGCCAGGTTGCGGTTCACACTGATTTCCAGGCTGAAGCGGAAATCACCACTGTTTGGGTTGGTCTGGCTCACGGCCCGCCATGACTGGTTTCCACGATGACCAGTTCTGGTTGTGTTGCCTGTGCGCCTCACTGTGTTCAGCCAGTCTAAGAGACTATCCCCATTTGCAGGATCCTCAGAGTTTTCTGGTGGTTCTGTAATAAGAGGAGTAAACAAGCATTAAATTAACTCTACATTTGACAGTAAATCAAAGAAGAAGAAAGAAATGGCAAACTTACCAACTGGATCCACTCCACTTTCAGTACTGGGGGCACTAGGGGTGCTATTCGGCTGCTCTGGACCATCCTTGATTTGCTGAAGTCTACTTAAAAGTTCGTCCTGTGTTACCTCTCCTGAAAGAGACATTGCAAAACAGAAGGTTAATAAAAACTCTGAGAATGATATTGTTCATTGTTCATTGTTAAAATGTGTTATTAAGCCAAGTAGGATTGTGTTGAAAACCAGTCACTAACTGCCAAGATCAAATAGCTATTTTTCTGCAGATTTAAAAAAGGATTTGTTTATGAGAGTTTAGCATAATGGGACGGCGTTAGTCTTGTTCCCTGACTCTACTACCCGGTAGTACATGTTTTTATAAATTCATAATAAATGGGGATTTCTACAACACTAATTAAAATGTCTTGATTTAAGTCAACTTTATCTATATTAACACTTTTGACTAGCACAAGTTTAAAACTGGAACGGAATGGAATTCTATACAGCATAAAAAAAAACAGAAAATAGTAAGAAGATAAAATGACAAAGAGCTTTAATTTACACAAGTGCTTGGTAAGATCCTTTGCTGGCAGGCAATCGGTTTGTTTTGACCAGTTATGATTTGATTTCACTAAGAGTACCTGGAATATACAAAACACTGATACACAGCCTTATCTTTGAGTTGCTTAGTCAGTGTTTCCCACAGAATTTGATTCTATTTGTGGGGGCACTGCACCCCCCCCGGCAAGAAAAGCCAAAGGCCCCTTAACCTATTCGGGTGGCCCACGCATCCACCCCCCCTCAAATAAGAAAATACATGTGAGTTCATGGCTACTGTAGACAACGTTCTTGTTGCTCTGTGTTGCGTTGTTAATGAGTGGGACACACCGGAGTTGAGGATCTGTGGGGTTTATTCTCCCAAAAATATAATTTACAATTTACAATTTACAATTCAG